GTCCGCGGCTCTTCACTCGACGTTTATCCACAAACTGGTCCTGGATTAAGCTCCCAACGTTTTTATCAGTCAGATTCCACCATGAAAAATGTCTGTTTTATCCCCTTTTATGAGTTTTTGGGCATTGACTATCTTTAAATCGTTGCTTCCTGGTACAACAGTCGGCTCTGGAAGCGATCGCTTTTTTCTTCTTTTTTTCCTTTCTTTTTTTTGAAGCGAGTGGTTGAAGCAAATGGAGCATAAGAGCCCCCTGGTGGCTGAAGAAAAAATCCACGTATAAGCCGCACCGGACCATAAGCCTCATGGTTCAAAGTTCAGGAAAAAAAGTTGTGGCTTATAGTCCGAAAAATACGGTAACTGATCATCATCATGGTTAGGCAGCGAGCATGATTGCCATGAAGAGCCTACCAACCATTTGGACATATTAACAGCTAAAACAGACACTAGCTAAATCATCATGTTTCATCAAGTTCATCACACACCATTGTGCATTAAACTTACAAATACATAATCTTTAAACATTTTAACATTATTTTATTACATTATTTGTCACTATTTTAGAAGTAGATCTGTCCCTAGAAGTAGTTTATAACAAGTTTATAACAAACGTCCCCGCTTGAGTTACAGCCGCCATTACAGACATTAATTTTACCATGTCATTTCCCGTAGGGGAAAAAACGTACTTCGACATTTCAGATCATGATAAAATTCAGTACAGAATAAGATAAATTAATATTCTTCATGACAGCTTACCTATTTAGATGGTCACTGGAGAAATTCGGGTTACTTATCCATGAAGTCTTCATTCTTCATTTTAAATGGCGCAGCTCTTGATAACGTTCCGACAGAAATGAAAAATTTGAAGCCAGGTCCGCAACTAGGGCATCCCTCTATATGACGTCAACAGGATTCCCCCCGTTTTTTAAAAAAATAAATAAAACAGGAGCAATAAAAACAAGTGCAGTCAGAGTGCAGCATCGCGTGGTGCGGTCACAGCGCTCTGGGAAGAAAACAGCAGCCGCTGATGACGAAATATCAACATCCCTACATTGTTTCCTCGGTTACAGGAATGTTCAGGGTCATGGGCGTGGTTTGAGTTCCTCCAGAGCTTAAACCTCCATATATACGTACTATATTTTGTCGGACCATTCATAACATTTTCTTTTGTTAATTTATTTTATTTTTCTTTACCAAAAATAGAGGGGGGGAGACATGTGCCCCCCTATTGACCAGCCGCCACTGGGTGGCACCCGGTGTGGCCATTCAGGTGCCAGAGGTGGCACTTTGGCCACACTTTTTGGCTCCGCCCTTGTTTGCAAAATGTATGGTGGTGTTTTTACCAGCAGCAGCAGTTATCTGAGGCACTTCAGGAGCACCCAGTAGAGGTGGGCGGATAATATCGATAATAACGATATCAGCGCTGGTATTGATATTGAACAATACTCGTGTAAAAAGATTGATATTCAAGCGTTGTTTTTTTCCCGCACACACTGACTGCTGCACACGTTGAGTTTTCAAAGTCTACTCTCTGTAGTGCTGCACTGTCACACACACCATGGAGCAGCGCCCCACGTCTTTTGTTGTTGCACCGTCACGTGGCTCAGAAGCGCTAGCCAAACAGCTAATTTAACTAAGCAGGTAGGCTGGCCCACCAACTCAGCGTTCTCACCGAGCCCTCTACCTCAGGAGATTTTGTTTTAAGTTGTGTTGAGTTGGTATTTTTTAGTCTGTTTATTTACATAAAACAGAACAGTTTTGAAAGGAAGAAAATACCTTTTTTTTCCTAAGAACAGTTTCCTTTAATAAAAGAAACAAAGAAATAACTAGGACAGATGTCTAGTGGCGAGGGAAGAATTTTTTTTGTTTTTGTATAAAAGATTTATTTTCCTAATGTTAAAGGAAACTGTTTTGTTACTGCTTTATTGTTGGCAAGCATTGATTGTTATGATAAAGTATTTTGTTGTCACGTACAATGTTTGATGAAATTCTATCCTAGAACTTTTGGATCTTTTCAAATTATGAAGCTTTAAAAGTATCGGTATCAATATCGGCGATACTGGCCMTGTATTTACTTGGATCAATACCAAAATTCCCAGTATCACCCACCTTTAGCACCCAGGGCATTTCCTGCAAGAATATCTAATATTGCATCTGGAATAATAAGATAGAAAGACAGAGAAAAGACAGAAATGAAAGATTCATAAAACTGTGTTTGCATGCACCACTGAAGAACTGTTGGTCCTGGTCCTGTTTAGATTAACCCAGTTAGAAAAAAGAAATTTCTCTCCAAACTGTAGTCATTCAATGAACCTTCATCCAGAACCTTATTTATGTAAAAATATCTCTTTAATATCAGGGTCAAAGACAGTCTAATGAAAGAATTCCTCCCTTTTATTTCTAGTGCGGCTCTGAAAGGACAGGAAACTGCCTGAGGTCAGTGACATCACACACCAGCCTCCTGTTTGCAGAAATGAGCTCCGCCCACAGAGATCTACTGTGAATGTTTGTGAAGTGAACCAGAACAAACTTTAGTTCATAGCAGAGAGCCATGTCAGATCTGTAAGGATAAACCAGACGTGGCTCCTGGACAAAAATCAGTGAGGATGGGTGTGTGGGAGGCGGGGTCTTTTATTTCTGTGGTTCAGGGTCTGAATACGTCTTCCACAAACAGCACCTTCAGGCTGTCTATGAGTTGCTCTCATTTCTTCATGAGACTGGGTCTGATATTGTGCTAACTTTGAACTTGCCCCAGTTTAAAGTCAACCATCAGGGCTGCCGGGTCTTTTATAGAAACAGGAAGCACTTTAATGACTTTACTAAAACAAGCTAAATAACCTCGTTTTGAAAAACAACTGATATCTAAATGAAGTCAGATAAATGTTTTATCATCTGTGAAAGTCTGTCTTTAYAATTGTGACATTTTTTTACAATTCATAAACAGAAATGTAATATATAAAATCTAGATGCTGTTTCTCCAGTTGTGGTTGCTTATTATTCACCATCTTTTCCCCACAGGTTCAACGAGTTCAGCTACAGACCGTTTAAATGCTATAAAATGAAAACCAGTTTGGGATACGAGGTCTGTCTGACCTTCACCTTTAAATTCTGTGTGACAAATTTGAGCAGGACCAGGGCTTGATGTGGAAAAACACAAATGTAAACATAAACTTATACAACCTGTTCTCACTCCCGAGTCGTCACATATTGACGCTTTTCCAAAGTTCCCTCTGCGTCCCATTTTGACTCGTCGGGTACTCCCCTTGCGTCATTTTTTTGACGAGATGGGGCGGAATCTGTTGTCATAATTTCTGAAAGTGTAGAAAATGCACCAAAGCTACCATTCCAAAGCGTAAAATTACGTTTATTCACTWWAGACATCCTGTCCCTGACCCTAGTACCTAAAATTAACCATTTTTTAAAAATGTAGGAAATTCACGTGAACTACGTGTTCCAAAGCCTAAAAATGCCTAATATTCACCATAGATATCCTATCCCTGACCCCAGTCCCTAAACTTAACCAATTATCCTGATCCCTCATGTTAACCTCAGACCCCCGACCCAAAGACCCCGGTGGCGCAACCTGGAAAAGCCGCAGGCGGCAAGGACTGGCGCGAGGGGGTCACCCGACACGTCATAATAAGACACAGAAGGAACTTTGGAAAAGCRTCAATATGTTGACGAGTCAGGAGTGAGAATGTGTTAACTTATATTGCTGCTGGAACCAAAACCTAATCTTTTTGTTTTTCGTTCTTTGGCACTAGACTGTGTGGAAATCCTTTCTAGCATCAAGGCAGCGAAGATCCTGAAGAGAATGGGCAGCCCCAAAGGGATGTGGACCAGAGACCCCAAGTCCTCCAAGGTTTACRTTTTTAACGGCACCTCAGGAGACTCGGTTTACCAGTTCAGCTCTGTACGGGACTTTTCCAGATCCCTGGGTGCGTCTAGCAGCAGAACCATCCAGCTTCCCTCTGAGTGGAGCGGCTCTGGAAGTGCTGTTTATAACGGCTATTTGTATTTCATACAGCGAGAGGCTGATGCAAATGTACAGGTGGTCAAATATGATCTGCTGAGTGGTTCTGTGACAGAGACTGCCCTGTTCCCTGTGGAGAGCCATTCTAGTCTTTACAAACTCAATCCAGAAACAGTTGTGGACCTCGCAGCTGACGATGAGGGTTTGTGGCTCCTCTTCTCCCCGAGTGACGATGAACCTAACATTAGCCTTGCAAAGATGGATGCTGCCACGCTTGATATTGAACAAATCTGGGACACCCGATGCCCACGGCAGAATGCGGAGGCGGCCTTTGTTGTCTGCGGGACTGTCTATGTGGTTTACAACACCCGTCTGGCCAGTCGATCCCGGGTTCAGTGCGTGTTTGACGTCAACGACGTGCTGGTCAGCGAGGAGGCGCCTCTGCTTTATTTCCCCCGGAGGTACGGAGCCCACGCTAGTCTGAAGTACAACCCTGAGGAGAGGCAGCTTTATGGCTGGGACGATGGCTATCAGATTATTTACAAACTGTCTATGAAGAAGAAAGTCTTGGCTTAAACAACAGAGAAGTGACATTGCTGTACAGAACTTGAACATTTACTTCAAACTGAATCATTCATGAAATGTCTGCATAAAAACAGATCAGGTCATTGAACCAGAAAGACTGAAAATGTTTATTTTTGTTTTTGATATGTTCTACAAATGAGACTACCAGACACAGAGGGCTTGGTTTTAATGGTGGATCCATGTGTAGCTTATTCACTGAGACCACCCTGGTCTCATGTGACCGTGATAAGGACACGGAAACAACCTGAGATAACCAAAACTGACGCRGTCCGATATAGTCTTACCAGGACAGGTCTAAAGACCATTGTCTGTATGCAGGAAAGTGTTCTGAGGATGYAGAAAACAGTAAAGACCTCCCCCCCGGTCCATCTGGTGAACACTGTGAGAAGAGCAGAACCACGACTGTCTTCATGAGGGAAGTTTTTCAGATTTGCTCTCTGCACTATCCACATGGTCAGCTTGTTTGCATATGCACTAAAAGCACTTCTGGATGACAGAATAATGCACTCAAATAATTATTTCCATCCCTAATTATGACACCC